CACTGTGCTAAATTAATAATTTTCTTAGGAAAGTTGATTACTCGATACTACACTAACTTCTCTGGGTAAGAAAGAAAACTGCTTAGTTCTACACTAACAACTCGAGGGAACTCGAGTACTTGATACTAAACTAACAACTTTTGGTAAGAACAAAATGTTAGAAAACTTGATTATCCGATACTACACTAACAACTTTGGGTAAGAAACTGGACTGCTAAGTTCTACACTAACAACTTTGTCAGGGAACTCGATTACTTGATACTAAACTAACAAATTTTTGTAAGAAAAAATTTGTTAGGAAAGTCGATTACTTGATGCTCTGCTAATAACTTTAGGTAAGAAACTACACTGCTAAGTTATACACTAACCACTTTGTTGGGAAACTCGATTACTCGATACTACACTAACAACTTTGGTTAAGAACATATTCTGCTAGGCGCTACAGTTGCAAAATTAGGTCAGAAACACAATTACTAAAACTACTCTAATAACTTCAAGCAAGAAACCAGCTAGGTGCTACATTAACAACTTTGTTAGGAAACTTGACTATTCGATATTACACTAATAACTTTGGGTAAAGACATAAATGTTACGTGCTACACTAATAACTTTGAAGGGAACTCGATTACTCGATACTACACTAACAATTTTGGGTAAGAATATATATTGTTACGTAATACACTAGCAAGATTAGGTAAGAAACTCAATTGCTACGTGCTACACTAATAATTTATTAGGAACTCATCTGATAGATACTACTACATTAACAACTTTATGTAAGAACATATACTACTAAGTACTACACTACAAGATTATGTAAGCAAATTTATTTTTAAAACTACTCTAACAATTTTGGGTAAGAAACATAGCTGTTAGGTGCTACACGAACAACTTTGTTAAAAAAACTCGATGGCCCAACACTACAGTATCAACTTTGGGTGAAAACACTACTATTCGGTGATACACTAACCACTTCGTTAGAAAACTACGCTACCTACTTTGGGAAGGAAACACAACCGCTAGGTGCTACACGAACAACTTTGTTAGGAAACTCGATTACTCGATACTACAATAGCAACTTTGGATAAGAAACATAAATTCAAAGTGTTACTTTAACATTTTTGTTTGCAAAAATATTTTATTCGTTATCAAACTATAAACTTTTGAGTGTTACGAGAAACACAACTGCTAGGTGCTACATTAACACCTTTGCCAGGAAGCTCGATAACTCAATACTACACTCAGAACTTTGTGTAAGAAACATAACTGCTAGGTGCTACACTAATCAGTGTGCTAAATTAATAATTTTCTTAGGAAAGTTGATTACTCAATACTAAACTAACTTCTCTGGGTAAGAAAGAAAACTGCTTTGTTCTACACTAACAACTTTGTCAGGGAACTCGAGTACTTGATACTAAACTAACAACTTTTGGTATGTTAGAAAACTCGATTGCTCGATACTACACTAACAACTTTGGGTAAAAAACCAAACTGCTAAGTTCTACATTAACAACTTTGTTAAGAAACTAGATTATTTGATACTACACTAACAACTTTGGGTAAGAAACTGGACTGCTAAGTTCTACACTAACAACTTTGTCAGGGAGCTCGATTACTCAATACTAACAACTTTTGTTAAGAAAAAAAATTGTTATGAAACTCGATTACTTGATGCTACACTAATATATTTGGGTAAGAAACTAAATTGCTAAGTTCTACACTAACAACTTTGTTAAGAAACTCGATTACTTGATGCTACACTAATATATTTGGGTAAGAAACTAAATTGCTAAGTTCTACACTAACAACTTTGTTAAGAAACTCGATTATCCGATACTACATTGACAATTTTAGGTAAGAAACTGGACTGCTAAGTTCAACACTAACCACTTTGTTAGGAAACTTGATTACTTGATGCTATACTAATAACTTTGGGTAAGAAACTAAACTGCTAAGTTCTACACTATCCACTTTGTTAGTAAACTCGATTACTCGATACTACACTAACAATTTTGGGTAAGAAACTAGACTACTAACCACTTTGTTAGTAAAATCGATTACACGATACTACACTAACAACTTTACTAGTGAACTCATCTGATAGATATTACACTAACAACTTTGGTTAAGAACATATACTGCTAGGCGCTACAGTTCCAAAATTAGGTCAGAAACTCAATTACTAAAACTACTCTAATAATTTCAAGCAATAAACAAGCTAGGTGCTACATTAACAACTTTGTTAGGAAACTTGAATATTCGATATTACACTAATAACTTTGGGTAAAAATACAAATGTTAGGTGCTACACTAATAACTTTGAAGGAAACCCGATTACTCGATACTACACTAACAATTTTGGGTAAGAATATACATTGCTATGTACTACACTAATAACTTTATTAGGAACTCATCTGATAGATACTACTACATTAAATACTTTGGGTAAGAACATATACTACTAAGTACTACACTACACGATTATGTAAGCAAGTTAATTTTTAAAACTACTCTATCAATTTTGGGTAAGAAACATAGCTGTTAGGTGGTACACGAACAACTTTGTTAGAAATCTCGATTACTCGATATTTATCTAACAACTTTGGGTAAAAATCACAACTGCTACGTGCAACACGAATAACTTTACAGGAAACTTGATTACTCGATACTACACTAACAATTATGGGTAAGAATATATACTGCTAAGTACTACACTAGCAAGATTTGTTAGAAACTCACTAACTAAAATCTACTCTAACAACTTTGGGCAAAAATCACAACTGCTACGTGCAACACGAATAACTTTACAGGAAACTTGATTACTCGATACTACACTAACAATTATGGGTAAGAATATATACTGCTAAGTACTACACTAGCAAGATTTGTTAGAAACTCACTAACTAAAATCTACTCTAACAACTTTGGGCAAGGAACAACCGCTAGGTGCTACATTAGCAACTTTGTTAGGAATCTCAATTACTCGATATTAGACTAACAGCTTGGGGTAAAAAACACAATTGCTACACTAATAACTTTGTGGGGTATTCGCTTACTCAATACTACGCTAAAAATGTTATTGGGAAACTCACCTGATAGATACTACACTAACAACTTTGGGCAACTAATACAGCTGCTAAATTACTAAAAAGTACACTAACAAGTTTGGGTAAGAAACATAACTGCTAGGTGCTAAACTATTAACTTTGTTAGGAAACTCGATTACTCTATACTACACTAACAACTTTGGGTAATAATATATACTATTATGTACTGTACTAGCAACATTAGGTTAGAAACTCAATCACTAGAAACTACACAAACAACTTTAGGTAAGAAACTCAACTGCTACGTGGTAGACTAGGAACGTTTTTAGAAAATTCGATAGCTATATACTACACTAATAAATTTAGGAAAGATAACTTGCTGCTAGGCACTATACTAACAACTTTATATAAGAAACACGATTGCAGTTACTTCACTAAAAACTTTGGATGAAACACACAACTGCTAAGTGCTAAACTAGTAACCTTAAGTAAGAAACTTGTTCACTGGATACTACACTAACAAATTTGGGCAAGAAATACAGCTGCTAAATAATACATTAAAGACAAAACTACGTGATAATGTTATGATCTGCTTCACGTAGGTCACGTGATTTCGAAACCGAAACTATAGTAGTCGAATTGAAAACGCGTATTGCTTATGTAGAATATCTTTATACTCTTGTCTCGTGATTCAAATGTTAAATTAGTATCTGGAAATGAGGCTTTTTTGCTGCTGCTACCCAGACGTATCAAATGTAGAAGTGACAAAAACGTTTGATGTAACGTTCGAAATAATTTATTTACACAACTGAAACAATTCCAACAAATTCAATGTCATTAAAAGCGAATTCACAAAATAAAAATTAAGAATTACATATTTTTACAGCGATAAATAATTTCCAACAGTTCCAACTTTTTTTGATCACCAGAATTGAAAACTGAGCAGTTTGGAAAAGTCTATTCTAACCAACTTCTCGTATTATGGATCTCTCTACGCTTAGTTTTCTATCACTACCTCTTAGTTTAATAGTAATAATATAAGAGAACAGATATGAATATCTATTATAGTGAAATTGTTATTATACTAGAGACAGTTCACTCTACTGCGTTTCCTATCTACTTTTGAGAAATCTTGACTCCTAACGATATTACTGTTTCTAAACTATAAGAAACACACGTGAATAACATTGACCATATTCTTAGGACGTACGAAATAGATAATTAATAGTATGGGACGTGTTCTGCCACAATGGCCTCTCCGAAATTATTAAGCCTGTTTCTATCTAAATCATTATTCACAGAATACGTTTCAAATCCTCCTCTCAGCCAAGTAGGCCAATCCTCTGAACCTAATAATAAAACACTGAGCCGACATGTGTAAAATATAAATTGTTCTTGGAATTTTAAACCGCTTAAATACCTGATAAATAATAGCCATTTGGGTGTAAACATAGTGCTTTTTTTCAGTTTTCATTTGAGGTACTGAGATGAGAAAAATGTAAGCATCTCTGAAAGTTCAATTCGTCTGAAACTTTGGCACAAAATCAGGGGTATAACACAAATAAACTAAAATAATGAAATCACACAAGTTGTGAAAAATTATCATAGAACCTTCCCAACTTAAAACAACAACAACAAAAAAAAAACATTAGTTCGTTGGGCTTAATAGAAAATGAATTTAGGCATATCATCTAAAAGAAATCAAAATAAGACCAAGAGATGCCGAAAAGAACTCAAACCCTACCCAGAAACGTTTAGGTCACTAATCGGAACATTTTAGAAGTGTTGAGACAATGTAAACTGTGATATATTGAAAACAATCTGGGGAGCAAATGCAGCGGAGAGGAAGAGGCTAGAGTGTTGATCGTCACAGCTGCATTGCATGCAAGTTGTATACGCTCACGTGATCCAGAGGGCATGGAATATATATCTGTTGCATATTTAAGTTCATACCTGCGAACGGATAGCCAAATCCCGGATAGCCAGTGTATCCTCCTCGCCCGTAGCTGTAAGCCGCTGGGAATCCTACTGGAAGAGACAACAACCACAGTTGGATTAAATGCTTAAAATGACCCTAATTCAGGTCTCGGTTAAATTTAAACTGCATTAATAATATTTTACAAAATGATATGTGTACTTTACTAAAAAGACTTAATAAAACACACGCGCATACATATAGCTCAAATGTACAGTATTATTATGCGTCACAGAATATTTCAATACTAGGAAAGTCATTAGTGTATCGTCTGTCAAATTTAGAATATCAATGTAACACCCACAAAACGTTTCACGAACTCCTTACGATTGTTGTTTTTTATTAAAAGTTTACTAAGGTTTAAAACGTGTTTCTATAAACTCCCGTAAACACTTAAGTTTTCCTTGGGCAGCTGGAAACATATCCCATACCAAGACTTTCACGTTGTACGTGAGCTAATTAAATGTTTAAACAAAAGTCATGTGAAATAGATAGGACTCAATAAAGGTAAAGTGAAGATCATTCATAAATATTTGTGTTAGGTTTGGTCATTTTTATTAATAACGTTTCCTTAACTTTTCTTTTATTTACGTCTTGTTGGTTACCCAATATCTTTATGTTTTCCTAACTTATTTTATGATGAAAGTTTTTCTACATGTTCACTTACATGTGAAGGCCCTTTTAATGTTTATTAAATCTGTTTATTAAACATATATAGATTTACAAGTTCATAGATAATTTGATAGATCCATTTATGTAGTAAATCCTTTATGTGTCATCCAGGGTTTTGTATGATATATTTATGTGTTTCGTTCTTTGTTCCTATGAGTTTCTCTCCTCTCTTTCTTATGTATGGGATCATTTTTATAATTTGGTTGTTTATTTTTATTTTCATTTTATAGATAGCCATTTGTGTAGCTTTGTGCTTAACAAAAAAACACAATCTCTATTTTCTTATATATTTTGTAGGGTGACGGTTTTCTACAAAAGTACATAAACTTTAAAGGCAAGTGGAAATAATAATTTATTTCATCGTTTATTTCTTTAGCTGAACGAAGGCGGAAAGAAATGTTGTAGAAGCCTTTTATTGTACGTGTTATGATTATCAGTTTTGTATACTTCGTTGTATGTCTTTTTTTCTATGTATATCTATGTTTGATGTGTTGTGAAGTCGTGTGACATTTAAATTTAGGAAGTATATTATTGCCTCTTTTTCCTTTTCAGTTGTGAATTTTATCTTAGAATGGACGAAGTTTACGTATTTAAAGAAGTAGTTTTGTTCATATTGGGTGTTAAGATACATAATACATCGTCAACGTATCTCTACGAAATGCATTTGGAGGAATGAAGCTTTTTATATTGCTTTTATTTCTATAGGAATCGCGAATATGTTTGTTACAGAGTGATAGATGGCTTCCCATGCTAAATCCATTGTTGTGGATGTAAAATATCCAAAAAAATTCAAAACAGTTGATTATTACAAAATCAAACAAAGTTTTTAACTTTGTTGAATCAAGATATAGTTTATAGTTTTGATTTAGTTTTTCTGTTTCTATTTAGTTTCTTCAGAGAAACATTGAAGCTACATTGTTGGACATTAGTTCTTTTTAACGATTCCATAGGAAATTTCTCAGCAACAGAAACGCTTATCTGGGTTATAATTAAATTATGCATACGTACAGACAATTAATCTGATGTTAACCGGATTTTTGTGTATTTTTAAACAACCATAAATGTTTGGTGTTCTAGCATCCCAGTTTTTGAGTGCTATTATATTTTATTTAGGGATTTTTTGTGTATTTGTATATTTTTTAAATGAATTTATTTAGTTTATTTTCATATGTTTTGTTCAAGTTTCTCGTTATTTTAGTAAGTGTTTCTTCATTATTTAGTATGTAAAACATAAATATGTTGTATTTTGGAATTGTCTCATAAACAGGAAAAAGAAGAAAACAGGTTATAAGAATAGAGAACAAACTAAAAAAAAACATAACATGAATATTCGAACAAAATTCATACCAAAACCTGTATTAAAAACAGAGGAGTGATTAAACAAACCTTTCATTAATGAAGACTACACAAATGGATCTATCTCTGAAATTAACTGTGAAAATTGTGAATCTATATATGCTGGTGAAACTAGGAAAAAATCTAAAAACGAGATTTAATGAACACTTAAAAAGACCATCTCATGTAAATGAATAAATAAAAACTAACCATCAACTAAATTACGAAAACATAAAGACATTGGGTAAAAAAAAACAAGAAGTAAACAAAAGAAAAATTAACGAAGCATTATTAATAAAAATTACCAAACCTAACATAATATTTATGAAGTACCTATTTTATTGAACGCCCCCTAACACACGTTACTTCTGTTTAAACAATTAAAAAGGCCAATAAACATTCTATTCTCTTTCTCGTTTATCAACTGGAAAAACCTTTCATTCTAGCTGCCCGAGAGAAGCTGAACTTTTGAGAAATGCTCGCATTCCCTCTTCAATGTCTGTTGAACTCAAGCAGTTGTCGAATCTGGACAATTGATTAGCTAATATCTCGCTATAATTAGCTGTAATAAAGCTTGAAACATCTGGCGAAGTAGACTATTTAGAAGCTGAAAAACTTGACGAGAAGGACCATTTTTTTTCCTGAAGACACTCTTTTTTAGAAGTTGTAGACCTGGAAAAACATACAGGAACAGCTGCTAGATCTGGATGGTTTTATCTCAAGACGTGTTTTATTTATTATTTTGTACGACTTAAGTGACAGAATCTTATGAACCTAGAACATTTTATTTATAGAGGTGGTCAGTAAAATGCTTGTAAAGTCCAAATAGTGGCTACTAACAAAGCATATTTCCAACAAAATCAGCTTGGACTGGAATATAGTTAATGTCAAGGAAATGCAAAGGCATTTTAGATTCGAAGTTTTATTGAATTACATAAACACGTTAAAATACTTTTAAAAATATATAAGCTCATGAGCTGATGTCCCATTTTTACAATGAGCTGCTTGTGTTTTAATAATTCTGACTTACTTACAAACAAGCTTGTAAGAACCAACACGTAGCCAAAGTTTCTGATATGCGAAAACACATAGTTTCAATTCTTAAAGCTTATGGGACGCTATCAAAATAATTAATATCTTATTATCTGGAGATTATTTAGTATTCTCAGGTTTTCCAGGCGTATTGCAATCCGTGTTTCTTTTCTTTTAGATGCACAGTCACAAAAAATATAACCAGTTTCAGGGTTACATACGCTGTACCTACCTTCTGTTAATGCTCCAAGGGGCCAAACAAGGTCTGAAAAGAGATATTTAATATTATCGGCATGTGTTTATATATGATAGTAAATTTACTTAGCTTTATTTGTATAAAGTAGTATTATGAATAGGTATAGCATACTTATTATGTTTATCAATACTAACATGTGTGACAGATAGGATTTTAGTTTGCTTAATTGTTTGCTTTTGTTTTAAAACTGTTTATTATGAATATAGTTTAATAGCTATTACAGTTGCTTCCCTTATATGTAATTGTAAAAAAACGCAAAAACTCCCATAAATACTGCAAAACACAAAATTCAAAACTGAAAACTTGTATGTACCCCCGCAATACCAATTTTGGTGAAGATCCACCCACATCCTGCGAAGTAGTTACATGGACATACAACAAACAACAGACAGTACTATTATATTTATATAGATATATATATATTTAATGTGAATTGTTGAGAAGAGTAGTAAAAATTTGTTTTTGTTTTTTAACTCTTTGAAGACATTTCTCTTGAGCAAATACTGAACCAATTGAATAAAGTGAAATTGCAAACGGCTTCATTGTTTAGATAATGCAGAGTACTCAACAGGCTCATGAGTAATAATTTCCTGTATACATGTATTGAAAGTATCAAGTACTGTTGCATTCTAACGTAAAATAGTATGTAAGACGAAAACGTTTTTTGAACAATAGATGGCTAATATCATATAAAAGGTTTTAATTGGTCGCTCTGGTAATTAACATTAAATTTGATTACCACTGTAATTAATTTATGTCAATTCTAATCCAGTGAAAATCTCTTTAGATTTACCCAATGTGAAGTAAAAAGTAACAACTGTGTAGTTTAATAATGCGTAAGAAGAACATATTATCATTATTCTATATTCAATTCATTTCTTCGGAGAGAACAATATATTTTATCTGTTCCCATGAACAATATTATTCTAAAATTATTTTAGAAAAATTCTAACAAAGCTAAAATTATTTAATTTAAACAACAGCAAATAAACAAACTAAGACCATGAAGAATAATAAAAAATATCTGAAACTTTTTAACTCTATTGAGGATATAAAAAATAGCTTTCCATCCAAGGCAATACTTGTCTTTTTGGTTTTTTTATAGAGAACTCCTCTTGAAGACCAAACAATTCCCAGAATGAAGCTATATCTCATCAAATGTAGCAACAATACAAAAACACAAACATACAAAAGAATAAATGATTGAATGAAAAATACATTAATTGTAAAAAGATAAATACAATTTCGTACCAAACTCACCGTAACCTCCTCGACCAGTTCCCCTTCCTCGTGCCACGTTGTTTGGCATCATCACCTCTTTCGGTTGAGCTTTCTTACACTCAACCTGTTCAGTAGGAGGAAGATTTAGTCATTTACTACAGCATGCAGCGTTTTACAGGGATCCACATAGAAGTCAAATATAACGCTTCGAGATTCATTGAAACACACAAACACTCAAAAAGAAAGTATAGTGAAAATCAACGCCATGAATGCATTTTCAAGAGTTGCTATGTATAATAGGGGATGTTATCCTATCTCTACAGTTATGTCCAATTAACTTTGATTGTACTGTGTTATCTATCACTATATTTTTAAAACTTTGTTTAGCTTAAACCTTCAATAACAATCAAGTTAATTACATTACCTGTTTACCTCTGTTACTTTCTTACTTTCGATCTGTTAGTGATTTACTTGGTTGATATCACGCATTAATTTGTGAAACTACCGTTGAATGTCACCAAACGTTTTAAAACTGTATTGACTACCAGATGCCGCCTGGTGCCTCAGCGACAAATATGAGGACTTATAACGCTAAACATTGGGTTTTGTTACCCGCAGTGGGCAAAGCACACATAGCTCATTGCATAGCTTTATGCTCAGCAACAAAGTCAAACAGAATACCAGATAAAAATATTCAGTGTATTAGTTTCTATCAGATAACACACAAACACACACATATATAATTCACTTTACACACGCTCATAAATAAGGAAATCACGTCAATAAACCTGTCACATTGCTTTTATTTAGATTGCTTATGTTATTACACATTTTCTACAATAGAAACGGGTTTTATGGCTGTTTTAAACCCACTAATACGTAAAATGAATAAATAACTGTTAGGTGTTGACACAGTGAATTGATACTTAATCTTTTTGGAATTTGTTTTTGCTTCATATTGCGAACCAAGGTTCTGTTTAATACCATCCCTACTTGTACTTAGTTTGTAATTCCAGTGACTCCATGTCAGCAAATGAGAACTACGAAAAGTCTTGGCAATATACCTTAATTCAATATATTTTTATATGAGGTTTAATGTGTTTTCATGTTTCGTCGAATATAAAGCCAACTTCTATAATCTTTTTATTTGGTATTTTATAATAACTGATGTGTATTTTACAGCTTATATAGCCTGGTTGGTTTGTTTTCTTGATTTTTCAAATTGGAATGGCTTAAACGTTCTCGGTAAGCTGCTGAAGATGGATTACGTGTAGTACGGAATAAGATGTTTATTTTTTGATTAAAACAATATAAGTCCTTTGATCTAGCTTAGTATTCTAATGTTATTATATTTTATACATTCCATTAGTAAATAGAGTTTGTTTCGTTTTAATCCGTCTACCAGTAATGTAGCATGAGAAAACGTTCGCCGTATTTAATTCGAAAAATTTTTGTTTTTTAATTCGGAACTTAGATGAACTACTTACATTATATCATAGAAATAAAGATCGAAATATACATAATGTCTCGTATATAGCTCAATTTTCTCTAGAAAATCTTACTACTGCACATCAAAATCATGCATTATCAACCCTTTTCTGTGAGTAGTAGTACAAATTACCTGCATTATGAACCCTTTTCTGTGAGTGGTAATACAAATTACCTGCATTATGAATCCTTTTCTGTGAGTTGTAGTACAAACTACTTGCATTATCAGCCCTTTTCTGTGAGTGGTAATACAAATTACCTGCATTATGAACCCTTTTCTGTGAGTGGTAATACAAATTACCTGCATTATGAACTCTTTTCTGTGAGTGGTAATACAAATTATCTGCATTATGAACCCTTTTCTGTGAGTGGTAATACAAATTACCTGCATTATGAACCCTTTTCTGTGAGTTGTAGTACAAACTACTTGCATTATCAGCCCTTTTCTGTGATTAGTAATAGAAACTACCTGAGTTATGCTCACAGCTTTATTTCCTATTTATACACAAGCTTTCCATGATAATGCAATGGTAACACTGAATCTTCCAGAAACATGGCATGCTTTTAGTTGTCATGACATGTCCGTCTAATCAATTATAATGTAAAACAAACTGCTGAGGTGCAAAAGAACTTCAGTAAATTGTTGACAGGTCTGGCTGTTTGCAGAGTTCACTGTAAATATGTATCTCATTTCTCCCAACTACTGCAACTTTGAATTACTGTGTCACTAACCTGGCCAAGTTTTTTTGAAATTGAGATAGTTTTCCATGACTATATTTTTCGATGAAAACTAGTTAATAGTAGCTTTAGGAAAGTAAAATTACTCCTGTTTATCGACAACATACAGGAAGTGAATTTTCGTTTTAATTACTTTTCTTTAATATATAAACACATGTTTTGTATATACAAATGCACAATTCTGAAAAGCCAGTATGAAAAATGTACAATATCATTGAACGTCAGTATGAAAAATTTACAATATCATTGAACGTCAGTATGAAAAATTTACAATACCGCCGAACCCATTTTTATAAATTTCAAATCACAAACGTTTATCTATTTCAGATGTATTGTAAACTTTATTACTGTTCTTATTCATCAATAAATTCAATATTATTACCGTTTAATATTTTTCTGAAAGTTAAAATGACAGTTTTGCTATTCTTTAAAAGTCAAGATTATAAACTATTATCCATCTCTTAATGTTAATATTGCAAAATTTTGTTCACTTCTAACTGTTAATGTAATATGCATTACTTCACTACTAGCTATCAGAAATAGCAACTTGCACATATCTCAATGTCAGTATGAGAAGCTTATATATACACTTATTTTTGCTCTCTTAATGTCTATACTAGCAACTTTTATTCATTTATTAATGTCAGTGTGACAGCTTTTCATCACTGAATGTCAGTATTACCAGTCTTCATCGCCTTCCTTTCTGAATATCAGTATCAAAGAATTTCAGTTGTCTCTGAATAGCAGTAGAAACACCTTTGTTCATCTTTATATCAGTGCTACAAACCCTTACCCAATTGTGAATGACAGTGAGGTGGATATCAACCCGCTTTTGATTATCAATAAGACAGACTTCTATTCCTCTTTAAATGGCATTTTCTCCAATTTTTATTCACCTCTTTATGTTAAAATGACAGGCTTTTTCTCATCACGGAATAATAAGTTGTCAGTCTCATAAATGACAAGAAGAACAAGCCCTTGACAGGCAGTGGAATACTCTTATCACGTTCACAAAGTTTTATATAGCTCGCTATGACGGGGGATTCAAAAGTCCATTGAATCATATAATTCAGAAATGGAGAGGTATAGGAAAATAATTGTTGGTGATACGGAATGAGATGTTGCGGTCTTACCCTCGACAATATTGTTGAGGTCATTCAAGGTCAACTTCAAGGTCATGTCCTTCAAAACTTTTATTATTATGCACCATACATCAAAATTGTCAACTGCAAAAAAATGTAGACAATAACAAATGAAACAGTTAAACCTCAAAATTACAGTTATAGAGATAAAATGCAGATGAGGTCAACATCCCAACAATATTACGAAATAGTGGCAAGCAGTCAATATCTGTGTTCAAATTGCTGGCAAAATGTGACAAACACCAATATGGCAGCACAATACTGGTTACTGTTCTTTGTCTACCCGGACGTCGTTAGTCCGTAAATGAACCTGTGAAATGCAGCCGTTAATAAACATTTCCTATCATATGATGTGAAGGATGAAGTTCATCTGGAAACCGTTCGGCATACAATCTGGAAGCAGCCTGGGCATTATAGTGACACTATCCATACATCACAACCATGTTAAACTGTTCTTCAACTGAATACTCTACCATTAATTAGACGATTTTGGAACAGTTGCAGCACAATGCTTGTGTAATACCTTATTTAGGGGTATTCTATTTTAATACTTTTCGTTCTTTTGGACCCTTAAAGGCTGCAATGGCCTGAATATGAAATATTCTGATCCTGAACCTGAAACTTTACTACTGTTGGATTTAGATCTTTTGTATCACAACTCTATGTGCACGGAAAGGGTGTATTTATGTTTAAAACTATTGTTATTGAAGTACTGCATTAATAGTACTGTCTGTGGATGGATGAAGGTTCATTAGGTCCATACGGGGGTATATACAAATTTTCAGTTTTGCGTTTTGCGGTTTTTATGGGCATTTTTGCGTTTTTTTTACAATTACATATCAGCTTTTAATGTCATAAGATAACCTTTCATTATTTATGTTAGGGGACGTGTACTCCAGCTAGTTTTTAAAATTTAATACGCCTTTGCCGTTAAGACGTTGGATATAATATGATTACTAGTATAATTTCCAAAGGACATGATATTGGATTATTTAATTGATGTTATCACAGGTCCGTGACACTTCATTCCATATCATCAGCAATTAATTACTCTATACCTCTTGGTTCTGAATTAGCTGCTTGTCCGAGGACTTCTGAATCGCCCTGTATATGATCTGTGTGCGTAAAACTCGAACTGACGTAAATGAGAAATGTATCTTGTCTTCGTGAAATAACTGTAATTAAGTCTTTATTCCAGCTTTTTAAATCAAATTGTGTTCATTTATTGCGTGTTATGAAAACTAACATCATACATAAGTTATATGTAAACAACATGTCTTTGATCGTGTAATAGGGCTGTATTTATTTGTTATGATGCATAATGTATCCATTCGTTGTTCGTGTAATAATAAATACAATTGTATTTATACAATATAAATAAAAATCCCACATATCGTGCGTAATAATAATTAAGACTATAATTATTCTATATCAAAAACATGAGGAACATTTTTTAACATAACACTAATACTTTATACAAGTTTAATAAAAGATCAGTATTTCGAAGCCTTGAGGTTCTTAACTAAATTATATAAACCAATATTTTGTTAAGAAATAATGTTTGTTTATTTCTTCGATTCTCAAAAGCTAACATATTTCTAGTCTAACAATATGAACGCTTCAGGTCATGAGATGATAAATGATTAATTTTATTATATTGTATTTTGATATTAATCTTAAATATCATAATTTAACTTTTGGAAGTGCATTAAAGAGAAAATGATAATAGTATTGGTTGGGTTATGCTAAAAGGGTTATCAAGGGGGAAGTGTATCTTTAAAAGTAATATGCGGAAGTTGGAAAGGATAGCTTGAAAGATTCATTAAGTTAAAAACTAAATTGGATACATTTAACAACAAAAAAATGCTTACCATTTTGTTATTGATTTCATGAAAGTGGATTTCACAGATTTTGTCTACGACATCTTCGTTTTCGAACGTCACAAAACCAAAACCTAAATCAGTAATCAAAACGAAATATAACCAAAAATTGATAACAGTCTCGTGTGAAAAGAAAATTAGATAAATTCAAAATAGATAGAAAATAATAATTTACATTATTGGATTAATAAATTAAGTATTTATGTAAATTTTGATCTTATGAATCTGATGTAAACATCAATAGCTGACATACACATATAACGGTGAATCGGAATGCATCAACTGTAATAACTAGTATACACAGACTGTTGCGGATGTGAACGTATAAACATTGATAGATAGTGTACAAACATTAATGTGAATCTGAATGTACCAACGTTAATAACTAGTATACACAGACTGTTGCGGAAGTGAACGTATAAACATTGATAGATAGTGTACAAACATTAATGTGAATCTGAATGTACCAACGTTAATAACTAGTATACACAGATTATTATGGATGTGAACGTATGGGTATTAATAGATAGTATGCAAAAATTAATGTGAATCTGAATGTACCAACGTTAATAACTAGTATACACAGATTATTGTGGATGTGAACGTATGGGTATTAATAGATAGTATGCAAATATTAATGTGAATCTAAATGTACCAACGTTAATAACTAGTATACACAGATTATTGTGGATGTGAACGTATGGGTATTAATAGATAGTATGCAAATATTAATGTGAATCTGGATGTACCAACAATAATGACTAATATATACTGGTTGGTGTGGATCTGTGGATGTGAAAATACCAGCATTAACAGATGATATTCGAAGACAATGCGCTTGAGTATGTAACAACAATAACAGAAAGTATAAACAAATAATCGAATATATACATAAACTTCTGTGCAACGTGATAATTTGGGAAAACGTAGTAAATTGTATTAATTGATATGACTACAGCTCGAACACTGTGTACATAATTTTGCAACATACAGCACTTTATTAATAGTAACATAAAATAATAACAAACAACATATTTTTTTTATTTTGATTGAGGATTAACATGCACTTTTCCTGTCCGCATTCAGCTTTTATTAATGAAAGACATTGTAACTGGTCGATAGCTAACAAAATACAGATGTTAACTTGAATATATCTTTCCTACAAGTAATTATTAATCGAAAATCCCTTATTTTACCACATATTTTTCTATCCAAGGTTGTATAACTGTTTAAAGTTTTTTATCAACGAATAAGGTTTTAAGGTAGTTTGCGTTCTATAGACATAGAGGAGACCAACATGGAAAGATGCTTCTTAAAGTCCAGACATTTTGTTTTTTTCTTTTTACAAGGCTAGGGAATGTTGTTTCTAAGGCATTTGTAATTTTTAAACTCAATTTACTTTATCAAATTAAACACCAGCACGTGGAACTTTCGAGAAAAATAAGTGACTAGGATATCGATCAGTGTTATTGGCTAATGGTTAGGAAGTGGTCCCACTTCGTTTGATGACAAACTAAAACGAAAATACTGGAATATGGAAATGTTTCGCTAGTAAATCGGAATTATGATAATGGCTAAATAATACGCTTGTTTTATTTGAAAATCTAAAATGTGAAATTTGGCTGGAATATGGATAACTTTTCTTTAAGTATCAACGAAATTGAAGATAAATAACATTTGACTCCGTTTTATTGATGGATTGGAGAAAATGAAAATATAGATTTTTTTTTACTGGTGGATCGAAGAGCATGATAAAGGCAAGGCCTTAGCTAGTTTACCTGTTGGGTCAGAAAGGAGAAAAGTTAAGATTTAGAAGCATTTCTTTGATTAATAGAAAAAAAAATAACATGGCTTAACAGAAGACCGCTTTACTTCAGACATCAACAAAGAAAAAACCGTATATAGACAAATGTTTTTGTTGTAGCTATAATAGGAATCGATTGTTTAGGAAGATGATGGCTTAGAAATCAGATTTGTGGTATTGGTGGATGAAGACATCTTGGCTATATCTATTTAAATTTTACGTTTAAAAAATCGAAACTTTATAACACGAAAAAAGTAGAAAACATTGAACCTTTAACTATACGTGCCAGGACATCATTAGCAGTCAATAATAAACACACATTTTAAGATTCATGCTTCATCTAGAAAAGTTCACCCAAGTAAGTATATTTCATTTGGTTTCTTTATTTTCACAATAAACGTATTTTACAACAAGAGTAATTTTATCATTTCACGACAAATCATCAGATTGGTCAGCGGTAAGTTTGCGAACTCACAACGTTAAAAGCCGAAATTCGATTTTCCTCGGTGGATGGAACGCATATAGCTCGGCAACTAACAATATATACATTTATTTATAAAACGATTAAGATTGAGAATACAGAAAAATCTAACATATTCAGCATTTCTCCAGGTTTTCAATTCTTTAATTATTATGTAAGAGGATTTGGAAAGGCAAAAGTTTAAGTTAGATTTGGCCAATTTAGATGAACCCTCTTTTGACAGAGTAATAATGTGAACATCGCTTGGCGAAAAGCTTGAATATAAATTAATGATATGGTCGATATGTAATTATATCAAGATCATATTAACACAACTTGCTCTAATTTAATATCGTCAAATGGCAGAAGCAGAGCTGACGTAGATGATAAGCGATTTACAAGTCCGTCGAACCACGTTCGGTGGGTTCACTTAAATGAATAGATTTTGCCAGACGGCCAAGTAGTAATTCATCTCCGTTTAATTAGATGACTTGTTCGATAGAATTCGGTGTCAAAGACGAAAAGCTGCGCTCGACTCGGGTTAGTCTATCAAACAAAAGATCGACACAAGTAAGTGAAATTAACCAAGTGCGTTGTTAATCACCCCTGCTTGCTGTACCGCAGCGAACTAGTATGTACATGTTTGTGTGAAAGTGTGAGAGAAATATGAGTGATATTAGATAGCTAATGGTTAATATTACCGTGTCTAGCGTTAAATAATGAGAGTAATTTGTTCTGATAGAAAATAATGAAAAACAAAATGGAAATTCGAAAACATAAACATCTTGAACTTCAACAAAAAACGCTTCAGTTATTCTCTTCGACAAATATATAAACCTAATCTTGAAACTATTTTAGAAACTTTGTAATAATGAATCAATTTTGAATTCAACGAAAATACTCTGAACTGAAAAACGTATAATCATATGACGGTGTCAATATCAGCCTTATGTTACCTTACCATATCGAAAATACTACTTTATAAATTTTGGTTTATCAAAAGTTCTAGTATATTACGTTTTGATTATGTGAAAGTACTAGTTTATTACCTTTTGATTGTGTGAAATACTAATTTGTTACTTTTTGATTGTGTGAAATACTAGTTTATTACTTTTTGATTGAGCGAAATACTAGTTTATTACCTTTTGATTGTGTGAAATATTAGTTTATTACCTTTTGATTGTGTGAAATACTAGTTTATCACCTTTTGATTGTGTGAAATACTAGTTTATCACCTTTTGATTGTGTGAAATACTAGTTTAACACCTTTTGCTTATCAGAAGTGCTAGTTTATTATCTTTTGATTATCAGAAGTGCTAGTTTATTACCTTTTTATATTGTGAAGTACTAGTTTATTACCTTTCGATTGTCATAAATATTAGTTTATTTCTTTTTGATTGTATGGAATGCTAGTTTGTTACCTTTTGATTGTGTGAAATACCAGATTATTACCTTTTTTATATTGTGAAGTACTAGTTTATTACCTTTTGATTGTGTGAAATACCAGATTATTACCTTTTTTATATTGTGAAGTACTAGTTTATTACCTTTCGATTGTCATAAATATTAGTTTATTTCTTTTGGATTGTATTAAATGCTAGTTTATTACCTTTTGATTGTGTGAAATACCAGTTTATTATCTTTTGATTATCAGAAGTCTAGTTCATTACCTTTTTATATTGTGAAGTACTAGTTTATTACCTTTCGATTGTCATAAATATTAGTTTATTGCTTTTTGATTAGCAGAAATATTAGTTTACTTTAGAATGCTAAAATTATTAGTTTATTACTTCCATTAAATCATTATCTTTATTTATTACTCTTCCATCAATTCATTGTCTTCCAACTAGCGGCATAATTATTTAATTATCTTTCCGTTACCATAACTAATAGTTTTTCATCTTCGCACTACCACATAAAGTTTTTTTATAGCCTCACTAATTTTGGAAGTATTATTTTCTTATCTATTTACTACAAAAAATATAGTTTACTATCTTTCCACCGTCATAAGCAATAGTTTAATACCTATATAATACCATAAATGTTAGTCTACTGTGTTTCTATTACTAGAAGTATTAGTTTGCAATCATAATAATTGTTATTTTAAAAACAGATTATATAACTAGATGTGTATGTAACCAAACTCGTACATTAACAATTCGAAAAACTAACACATTCGAAGATGTTATTAGAAAAATAAATGTAACTTTATACAGTAAATATTGATTAGCTTTTATATATTATTTTATAAATATTGGATTTGCAATACTTATAACACGCTGACGTTTAAACAAAGAAGGAATTTCTGCTTCAGTACAGACTAACTTTATAAGCCGAGGAGACGAAGCGTAAGTCAGTTGTAGGAGAAAATGGATTTCAGAAAACTGCTTATATGTTACAGTACATCAAATGCGTCTTTCTCTGTTGTCAATTGTTCAGGGGAAGGGGAGGTCTTCCTTCTTCCTTTCCCTATCTCAATTTGTCGGTATCGCATGACGTTATCCGTCAACTATGTTGATATCTATCCAGCTAACTGAAGCTGAGGACTATCAATCATGCACGTCACACTCCGGGTGCAAGCTCGTGTCTCGTGTTAATCACGTGGAATAATAGAGGTGGTATAGACTTTCTGTGTTAGCTCCTTTCAACCGTATTGAAACTTCAGAAAAGTTAAGACTATTTCGGTAAGAAACAGAGTGATATAACTTAAAAGTGTTAAATAAGAACTTAAGAAAATTGAAGTCTAAACATAATATAACATTAAAGGACAAAAAAAATGGACCTTTGAATCCATTTAGGTCGTTCTATCT